GCTGGAGTGTGAGAGGAAGGAGCAGCACAAATAGCCAATCAATTCTTGTGCTGACAAAAAGCAACCTGTGAAGCTCTGGTGAACTCCATGCCCAAGAGGGTTAAGGCAGTGCTGGAAAATAATGGTGGCCACACAAAATATTGACACTTTGGGGCCAATTTGGACATTTTCTCCTAGGCGTGTACTCACTTTTGTTGCCAGCGGTTTAGACATTAATGGCTGTGTGTTGAGTTATTTTGAGGGGACAGCAAATGTACATTGATATACAAGCTGTACACTCACTGCCTTCCATTGTAGCAAAGTGTAATTTCTTCTGTGTCGTCACATGAAATGATATCATCAAATATTTACAAACATGTGAGGGATGTACTCACTTCTGGGAGATACTGTATATATACTAGGGATGCACCAATAGTACCAGCACAAGTACCGATACTTGTCCAAGTACTCACAGATACAATTACTGATACATTTTTTTGTGTGTCATGTGACAGTTTTTCTACAATACAGACTAATGATTTCAGGACAGCGGTGGAGCGCCAGAGCCAGGTCCCAGCTGCAACCACTGCAACCCTGGTAGTTCTCATGAAAATGCCTAGTATCGGCACTGGTATCTGAACATCTCTAAAGATAGCGTTTACTTTAACAGTTTTTTTGGGATAGAAAAATAAAGTGTAAAAGAATGTGATGGATAAATAGAGTAGAGTAAAAGAAGGGCTAGATTACCTTCCCTGGGGAAAATGTAGAAGGAAACTATGTGACAAGTGCCTTGCCTATTGGTCACATAATATCTGTTCTGACTGGCTCATCCTCCATACAACACAGATTACGTGACTAAAGGCCTAGGCTAGGTAAGCATTTGATTAGCAGTGGGAGGAGCCTGAAGCAGTATTGTTGGCTGAGAAGCCAAGAATTTCTAACACTCTATTTTAAATTCTTAACCCATCGCAAAATCATCATTCAGATTCACATATTAAATGCAGCCGGAAAAAAAATTTGAGTTAGAAGAGGAGTTCCGATTGGCAAATATGGGATATCACACTAGCAAAATGTCTTATATAAAAGGACTTTGTTTAATGTAATGCTTTTGGTTACAAACCACATGACTGCGCAATGCCATTACAGCACAAGGGCACACAAGATAGGATTATATTTCTTGCCTCTAAGCATTAATAAACCATACATACTTTTGTAATTTTTACAATAACATAACATGTTGTGAAGCATACAACAAATATATGTTAGGTTTTGATATCAGGTTTTCCTACCATGATACATGTCAGAAGAAATAGGAAAGCTGATACCCAAAGCATCCTCTTGGGCAAACATCTGGCAGAAGTCTCGTAACATAGTCATTCCAAAACCGTGTTTTCGCCATTTTTCCCGAACATAGATTGTGTCCAGCACAGGTAGCATGTAACACTGACTGCTCTGATCACACAAACTCCCTGGGGAAAGATGTAAGGAAATATTCACTCAAAGGACAGGTCACATTTAGTTCCCCACTCCGTGCCATAAAGGCCTTCCTCAGCAAACAATAGTTTCATAGCCTATTAATGGTTGGTTGCTGGGAGGGAAGAGAAATACCAGAGTATTTACTGGAATGTGAATGTGAAACATTTTCCTTCCTCCAACAATGCATTACAGGTGCTTGGCAGCTTAAGCACCAAGCACTATCATATGTGGTCGAAAAAGGGTCTTGAAACTTACACAGGTCATCCTGTTTGCCAACCAGGTAGGTGAGCAGAGTGGCAAGAAAGCAGACTGAGGGTGAGTTTGTACAGCACGGGGGGTGGCTTTAGAAATGTTTAGTAATGACAATCTACAAACACATCCTTCTAGACAATTGCAGGCATTGTATTCTTTACCTTATTTCTCTTTTCTTCCCCAGTCTTCTGGCAGTGGCCATGTTTACTAAGGGCAGATTGCTATCTCTCCTTTTACTTCCTGGATGCATGGTCACATGTGACTAGGACATGTGACCAGGACATGTGACCATGCACATCCTCTCAGAGGAGAAAAATGGCTTTCCCTGCGATCTGGTGAGATTACAGATGAGATTTCCCAGCAATGCTCTGCTGATGACAAGGCAATCCCAGTGTGCATTGCTTTGGCAAACTGAAGTCATTTTGCACTTTCAAAGCAGGAAGTGAATGCTCTGCAAGTGTAAGTATTTCACAATCACAGCATTTTACACCTGACATGTCTATGTTATTATTAATCATCATACATAGAGGGATGCATTACTAGAATTTGATTTTTGTGTAAGTGTAAAGGTCCGCTTTAAGTGAACATACTGTTTTGCCCTGCGTGTGCAAAGTGAAAAATGGCCTGGATGGGAAGGGGGTTTAACACCGCGGATGTCAACTGGTTAAATGGGCATATTGGCGGTATGAAGGCCTTTTCTACTATATTCTCTCACAGCACACCAATAAATTAAAGGAAACCCAAGCCGCTTGAAAAACAAGAAGGTTTAAATCAGGGTTGAACAAATACCAGGAGCAACATTTACAGCTGGCGCCTAACTTTCAAGGTTTTTTTCTAGTTGCAAGTGCAGCTGGCTCCTACAAATAATCCTGCTGGCTCCTGGATTGGATCGACTGGGCCTTGAATTTCATAATAATTTGTCCACCCCTGGTTTAGAATTCCTCTCATATCTGTCCCCATTATGATTGGCAGCACACTAGTTTTTTGGATTCGGATTATTGGTGCGTTTATTATTGAGTGGCACCATAGTTTTTATCACTACTCAAAACCATTTGAAGCAGCTGTACAGACCAGCACTAACCTCCCCTCTAGCTCGTGGGTGGGCTGTCCTCCAGGGTCTGTTCCTCCTATAGACCACAGCAGTTTGTGTGTCAGCTGCACACCACTACCTTTAAGTTAAAATCAACTTTATTTACAAAGCACCAAAACTTTTAGACGCTCCCCCCAGCAGCTTCATCACAATCTATTATAGCCTTATCATGAGTTATTAATTCATCATATATAAAATGTTAATCTACCTAAAATAAAATGGTGGCATTTACTTTTCATCTTTGTAACCCCTAAACCTAACCATAAATCCAACGCTGGTCTACACTTGGCAATTGTAAACACTTTCAACAATGATCTAATGAATGATTTAACCTACCAGCGATAGTGACAGGTTCCATATGTTCTTTTACGTTTTAAAATTGGAGGTTGAATAAAAACTGTTGAAACTGCCAGAAAGAACTTTGCTTTGTGGATGGCCTGTAATAAAGCTGAACTCAAGGTGTATACAACACCATTTAATGTAATTATACATTAAAGAACAAACAACTCAATTTTTACAGTTTGTAAAAGTGCCTAAATCTCTCTTTCGGAATCAGCTCCTGTAATACCCTGTACAGCAGTACTCAGATTGGGAGAGGATAAGACAGCAGTGTCGGCCAATCAGGCTCTACTGCACAGCACAATACTTTATGTCTACCAATGATGTAAAGCAGAGCAATGACTTCATTAGTATGTTGCTGCTGCTCCTGCTCCTTTGCCCACTCACAAACTAGGGCCAGAATCAGACCAGGCTTTATTGCTTAACAGTCTGGAATGTGTCTGGCAAGAACAGGAATAGAAATACTTTAGGTACATAGCCACTGTCTGGAGTTTAGGTTTAACCTCAATCAAGTCTAATATTATCATAGTAATAAATACTATAGCATATGTGAAAAATGCATACAATAAGTTTGGAGTTATTCAAAAAGTGCCAAATTATATTATCAGGCTGGTTGTCACCCTGCCTTTATTAAACGGTACAATAACGTATCCTTTCATATGCATAAATGTATTTTTAATATATCGACATGAATTTATATAACAAGTACATTCCCTTGACAAGAACATGATGAAGAAAAATAGCATCAAGTATACAATAGTATTTAAACTTTCTCATGGGAAGACAAAATATGTACTGACATACGGTTTATAATATGGTCATGTAAGGATGGAGAGGTGGAACATTTATTCTTTTAACTCTTTGGTATCTATATTTTTCCCAGCCATGTAAGGGGTTAAGTGTTGTGGGCTGACTAGCAGGTCACATTCATGATGGCGGAGCAAGTCAGCAGACTCAGTTTATTGTCAAAACACACAGTGGATGTTGTCACCTCAGCCTGATGAGACAGTCAACAGGAGGTAATTATTTCTGCTGCTTTAATGCTGGCCTTGGCACAGGAGAGGCCAGAGGAGATCTCGCTGCCAAAAAATGACCCTGTTTGTTAAAAACACTGACACCACCAAGCAAGAATGCAGCCCCAGCCGCTTACAAACAATGTTTTGCAAGCTGACATCTCACTGCAGACCCAGGGTAAACATGTCATTATTGGACAACAGGGGTCACTTAAACATCATTAAGTACTGGCACAGTTCAACAGGGAAAGGCTTCCACTGGCTAGAGAGAAAAGCTGTTTCTTTATGTAACTCCAGACTTTGAAATGTTTAAACCTTGGTACTAACCAAAGGCTAACATGTTTTCATGTCATTTCTGGATTCCCCTATAATTTCATATTATATATTGTTGTTGCACTACACTGCATCAATTTCCAAAAATATGGTTTTGGACTAGACTATGTGTGTCAATGTGCTTAACAGAAACGTGTTTAGGTGATGTTGCACGTCTTAAAATAAAATGTGGCTTTACTATCAATTCATTTATGCAACCTAGGAACAAGGAACATCATAAATAGGCTTAGTGATGCAGTGAAACAAAGTAATATGCAATGGAGCAGGGCAGTGCTGCAGAAAAAAGGCTGGCAGCACATGGCCTGAAACTGCAACTGTTTGGAGCAAATATGCAGTATGTGGATTAAAGTGGACCTTTACCCATATCTATAAAATAACGACAAACACACCATTAGAAATGTTTAGTAATGGACAATCTTCAAACAAACACATACTTCTAGATAATTGCCAGCTTTGTATTCTTTGCATATCTTATTTATTTTCTTTCCCAGACTTCTAGCAGTGGCCATTTTTACTAAGGGCAGATTACTAGCTCTCCTTTTACCTCCTGAAAATCTGGCACATGTGACTAGGACATGTGACCATGTACATCGTCTCAGGGGAGGAAAATTCCTTTCACTGAGACGAGATTTCCCAGCAATGCTCTGTTGATGTAACCTTCCCAGGATGCAATGCTTGGGCAAACTGAAGTCATTTTGTCCTTTCAAAGCAGGAAGTGAATGTTCTGCACGTGTAAGTATTTCCAAAATCCCAGCATTTTACACCTGAAATGTCTATGTTATTAATTATCATCATCCATAGAGGGATTCAAGTGTAGAATTTGATTTTGGAGTGTAAAGGCCCGCTTTAACACATACATGGTAATGAGCCCTTGCAAGCATTGGACAGTCTACAGTCTGATAGACTACAAAGCAATGCAGCAAAGCCCTACTATTTACAATGTTACAATGCAAAATTCACAAAAGAATCATATGAAATAGTGACGCTCTGCTGAGTAAAAGGTAGTAAAGCAATACTCTGCAGTATTGCAAAGCTTCAGATTAAGGGGTTATTGTAGTGATGATTGCAAATCTTAGTTTATGCTAGTACATGGCAAACTCAATAAATCTGGTAGAATTTTAAGAACAACTCCGGGCAAATTAAATCTAAACCCTTGCAGTGGGGCTACCCCCACACTGCACGGGATAAGTGCTCGTTTTGCCTAGGGAGCTAAAATAAAAGAGTTAGTCTCACCCAAACCACAATCTTGGCTGGTTGCCAGACTGGTCCCTGCAGCCTCGCTCCCCCTCCGCTCCAGCGTTCTAAGGCCCAGCGAGTCATAACGTCCCATACAGTTTATGACGAAAAATGGGAGGAGGAGACAGGCTGAAGGGACTGGTCTTGGAGCCAGCTGGGATCGTGGTTCAGATGAGTACTTTAGATCCTTAGACAAAACAAGCACTTAACCTTTGCAGTGCGTGGATAGCCCCACTACAAGGGCAAAGATGTAACTTGCCAACAGTTCTTCTTTAGGACATCCCCAATCCCAAGAGAACTTTGGGGAAGGAAAAGGAACCTTCTTTTCAGGTCTTACTGTACTTGTGCCTCAGTCTGTGGAATTTCCCCACACTAACTGTTCCAAAGAAAGTGAAGGGAAGTAAAAGAATGGTGTTTAAAAAATAAAAGGAAATACGGGTCCTGATGAAGATGGAACAGACACATTTTTACAATCACAAATGTTTAAATGTATAAAAATAGTAAATCATTTTTGCGTATATTGTGCTATTTATACATTTGTACAGTAAACAGAGCTCCTGTATAGCTGCTGCCAGCTGAAGTAGAGTAAGACTCAGAGGTAATTTACTGCTATTTTTTTTATATATATATGCATACAATAATGCCTGGCATCAGAGTGCCCCACAAACATTAAAAGACAATGACCCTTTTAGGTATTCACCTTTGTTTTTGTATGTGTAAAATGCCACAGCCTCTCCATGGTGCCAAATGATCTTGGCCAGCTCCCCTGCAGAGTGTGGAAGGAAGCTGACTCCATTCTCTGAGCTTCCACTCTCCATAAAACCACACACCAGGCAGTTCAGCACAAAGAGGACAATCCTTTCTCCACATGTCTGGACCTGCGGAATGACAAACTTTATTTCTTAAAGGAAGTACCAATTGCCAAATTATCACAAACTGCTGACAAGAACAGTTCTCTCTGCCCATCTCTAATAGAGAGATCGATCTGTGCCTGGGGGTACTCTAGAAAATTGTGAGATAATACAACAGAAATAACATTAGAACAGTCTAATCAGCTACAGTGAGTCAGGCAGCAACTAAATAGACACAAAAAGTTATCACACTTTTGAAGATCTACTGTTCTAATCTGGCTGCTATCAATGCCTATAAAGAGTTCATTATGGTGCACAGCACCAAGAGGCATGTGATGGCAGCCTATCATGTTATATTTTCACAAGTTCAGAGACTTGACTGCAGACTCATAAAAGAAAAATAACCTGTAATTAAATACTTATAGTGTGTTATCTGGGCAAAGCTCAATATAAAAAACTAATTGCATTTAAAGCTCAATTGAAGCAGTTTAAATATGCAAAATACATTCCAGGTGCAACAGAAAGGTGTTAAACTATTAGACCTTTCTGCTGCTTTTGACACTGTTGACCACCAGCTCCTCCTAAAAAAACTCCACTCGCTTGGCCTACAAGACTCTGCTCTCTCGTGGTTCTCCTCCTACCTAAGCGCTCCTTTAGTGGCACCTACAAATCTAACTCCTCCCCTCCTCTTCCTGTAGGAGTCCCCCAAGGATCTGTCCTTGGACCCCTTCTTTTCTCCATATACATTCCCTTGGTCAGTTATCAACCTCATATGGCTTCCAATACCATCTCTATGCTGATGACACTCAAATCTATCTTTATACTCCACAACTCACCCCCTCAGTGTCCTTGCGTGTCATTAAAGGAGAACTATGAGGCTTTAATCTACTAAGTGACTTATCAGTCTGGATGTCACAACACTTCTTAAAACTCAACCTTTCAAAAACTGAGCTCATGATATTTCCTCCCGCCCCCCTTGCACCTTCCCCAAACATTTCCCTTGAGATTGATAACACAACTATCCAACCCTCCCCCCCATGCCAAGGTACTAGGTGTCATCCTTGATTTGGATCTCACCTTTCTGCCCCACATCCAATCCCTATCCAATCCTGCCGCCTTCACCTTTGTAACATCTCCAAAATACGCCCCTTCCTCACCAATGAAACTGCAAAGCTACTCATCCACTCACTTGTTATATCTCGTGTTGACTATTGCAACTCCCTCCTCATTGGCTTACCACTACACAGGCTATCCCCCCTTCAGTCTATCATGAATGCTGCTGCTAGACTCATTCACCTAACCAACCTCAGTGTCTGCAACCCCCCTCTGCCAATCCCTGCACTGGCTTCCAAAAGGATACAATTCAAAATATTAACAACCACTTACAAAGCCATCCACAACTCTGCCCCCGGCTATATCTCAAACCTTGTCTCAAAATATCACCCTAACCGCCCCCTCCACTCTTCCATAGACCTCCTGCTTTCCAGGTCCCTTGTCAACTCCTCCCATGCTCGCCTCCAAGACTTCTCTAGAGTCTCTCCCATCCTCTGGAACTCTTTACTCCAACCTGTCCGTCTGTCTCCCACTCTGACTGCCTTTAGGTGATCCCTTAAGACTCATCTATTCAGGGAAGCCTATCCCACCTCAACCTAACCACTCAATCATCACTTTCTCAAACAATTTATCCCCACACAGCTACCTCCTCATGTATCACTTGCCCCTCCCTTTTAGATGGTAAGCCCTCATGGGGAAGGCCCTCCTTATCTTGTCTTGAATTGTATTGTCATGTCTTCCTTATATTGTAAATCGCTGCGCCAACTGTTGGCGCTATATAAATCCTGTATAATAATAATGTCTTACAGACTTTTTTCTCTCCCTAAGATAGCCATAGTCGTGTAGACTCTTGCTCACTGTGGGTAGGCAGCACTCTCTCTTACGCAGGTAGGGGCTAGTTCACACCAGAACTGCATGTGTCTGCGCAGTTGCAGTGCACTCCGTTTTGACTCGTTTTTGATGCATTCTTTTTTTTACGTCAAAATGCTAATTAGATCATTATGTCAGTTTATTCTTCCTGTCAAAAGAATTTCCTTTGTTTTTTTCTGAGTTCAGACATGCTTGCTTTGTTGGCAAGCATGGTGATAGTTTTGGCTGTAGCCATTCTCAGACAACGCATTTGCAGACGACGTCGGTATTGGGTGCACTCGCTGCTGAAGGTCCGAGAAGCAAAGGGCAAATTTTAGACTCTATATGAGGATTTGGGGGCGCATCCGGAGTTCTTTTCATGCATCTGAATGTATATTGAAAGGTATTATGTTCTGTGTGGAATAGACTGGATTTGTGAATAAGTGCACAGTGTTTACATGTTTCTCAGTACTGTCTTTTTATACCTTTGTTTTTTGGTTTATAGTTTTGATTCTCTCATACTGAAGTCGACGCCTGCTCTTGTGGATGAGGACACTGCCTACCGCAAAGCAATCTCACCTACTGAACGTCTCATCATTACCCTATGGTATGTGAATGTCTTGCTTATGTCATGTATTTGAAGTAACTTTGCCAGTCCGCATTCACCCTGTTATTCATCAACCATTTTGATTGTCCCAATGTGAATAATGTAGTGTTTGTTAAACCCCCACCCTTTCCAACACTACTCTCATTCATATTGTGGCTGTTAAATGTAGGTGTGCTCAAGCAATAGACAGCCTACTATTGATTTAAAGCAATAGTCATTAGTAGGCTGCCATTTGCACCCATAGGAGGGAAATCTTCTGCGGGACATTAAGCTATAGATTTTCTGCAGATTTTCAATGGTCAGAATTGTGCAACAGATTCCTCCATCTACGCTAAACTCTGTGGATGGAGGAATCTTCCACTAGGCCAAGTTTCAGTAACTTGCTAGTCGGCCTCGCTGGCTGTCAAAATACCTGAACAATGCCTGCATCCAATCAGATTTTTCATGTATTTTGACAGCCAGCGGGGCCGAGTAGCAAGATAGCGTAGATAAGAAATCTGTTGCACTTTTTCCATCAGACCATAGAAAATCTGCAGAAAATCTATAGGTGTATAGCCAGCTGAAGTCATTGCATTTGAAGACATTTTTGAGGTTCTTTACATATGATGTACATGAAGGAAGATAATTGAAAAATTATTAGACAAAATAACCAAACAAATTAATCATAACATATGAACATAACCGAAAAAATGTATAACACACAAAGAAAAAAACAAAAAATAATCACAGATTATAGTAGCACTATCGTCAGAGCGACCCCATGGCCCCGATTGCCTCTGCACATTTGAAAAATTCTCGCCACCAATTGGGTTTACCTCCATGTCATGCAAGTATCCTATAAAGCACCCACATGGTTGCGAATGGAGAGGTGGTTGGGTGAAATGGTGGTGAGGTGGCCAAGCTCCAGCAGCTGGAGGAGGTGGTGGTGGATGCGGTGGTGGGGACATAGAGTAGTGTGGCACAGCCGAGCGGTACACAGAGGGTGGCACCGTTGAGGGATTTTCCCTCTCAGACAGTACAAGTGGATTATGCTTCTGGTACCCCATCATGACACGGTTAATGTCCATGACACAAGCACAAAGCTTGGCATCAGGGATCAAATGATAATGCCAAAGTTCGGTGCTTGTTATTGGCGTCTTCAAATTGGCGCATGAAGAAGCACACAGCCTGCATTAAATCCTCCACAGAGTATCCTGCCCTAGATGCGCTAGAGGTTGGTCTCCACCTGGCTGTCTGGGGCCGTGTGCTAGGATCGTGTGCTCTGTCCGGGAACAGAAGGAGCCATGTTCTCCTGCTGGGCATCCTCATTCATGGTTTCCCAGTGCACCAGGTCAGGTTCTTCCTTCTGCTTCTCCTCCTCTTCCACATGCAGCACCTCTTCGGCTGCACACTACTCCTCCGCCGCAGCTCCAGCTTCCCCTGCAGAGGCCAAAACTTCCCCTGGACTAGCTACAGCTGCCTCTGCAGAAACCGAATGTGCCCCTGCAGATGCCGCTGTTGCAAGAGCAGAGTTTGTTGCTGCCCCTGCCGAGGGTACGGCTTCTTCTTCCTCCTCCTCTTTGTCCAAATTGCTTTGGTTTCTGTGGAAAAAAAAAACTAAATTAGACATCCATAAATATATAAGTTAAATTAATTTCATGATGCCTATGTGGGTCAACCTACCGACGCAGCTCCATGACTGGTCTGAGGAAGGATAGCTGTTGGAAGGAGACATACGGGTGGCGCCTTTGGCTGGCAGATCCACTTCTTCCCTTGTGCTTCCTCTGGCTCAGTTCTTTGCTGTAGCAGTCCCTAAAACTGTGTCAACTTTTTTTTACTTCAACTGCAAAACAATAACTTTATATCCTTTGTTAACTTTCTTGCATTCGTATGCATCAATGCACTTTCAATTCAGAATGGGAAAATCTACCATCTATTTCATCTTGCAGGCCATGTGCAAGGTTATTTGGAGAAATTTGCACAAAGAGGTTATGACATGACCAACTGAGAAAAGACAGAGAGAAATTGCTAAATTATTTTGGACGAGATGCAATTTTCCAAATTGTTTTAGGAGCTATGGATGGGAAACATATATGCATAAGAATGCCCCCACACAATGGAAGTAAATACTTCAACAATAAAAAATATTTCCCAATAGTCCTTCAGGCAGTAGCAGATGCAGGTTATCGCTTGACATAGGGTCATATGGCAGCAGTAGTGATTCCGCCATATTTAAAAATTCTAAATTGGGTCATCTATAATGCACAAGCAGACTCAATCTCCCCCAGTGATAGACCATGGCCAGGTACCACAGACCTAGCCAATCCTTTTGTGTTTGTATGTGATGAAGCATTTGGGACAGGAAACCATATAATGCTTCCCTACTCACAATGGGGCTTGACCAACGATAAGGGCATCTTCAACTACCATGTAAGCTGTCACGTGCCCATAGAATGGTAGACTGCATTTGGGTTACTGGCTTATAAATGGTGTTTACTGCACACAGCCATGCAAATGACCCCCAAAAATGCCACCGTCA